AGCGATACCTCCATGTGGGAGGTGGCAAGGTGTCCTTCGATCGCCATAGAAGCCTGCTTGAGGGTGATTGGCTGCAGCCCGGAAAAAAAAAACGTACCGCCATAGATACCGTACCGGGGAACAGAGCACCGGGAAAAACACGAGCACGAGGGGGACCATTTGCATGGTTTTCAACACCAACTCTGTTGAACAGCTTACGAAGCAGGGCCCAACGCATGGTCATGGCAAAAAAACCCCGTGAAACTTGGTCCCCACTGTGCATTAACAAAGGGAGGGACGAGTGAAGGTCAGCAACAAGATGGTAAGATTCGATGTTGACTATTAGGCCTTCTCAAGGATCATCGCGACCAACACCAGCATGCGAACCTCTTTCTTCAGCCTTGACTCTAAAAGTGAACTCATGCAACGAAAATCATCTATTATAGACCAAGAGACGGGGCGTGCTGTTACAAACAGCTAATGATAAAAACTCAGTTTCTCGAACTGCATCCAATAAAAAGGATACTAAGAAGTACACACAGCTTCCTGTTCAAACTATATGGAAAAAACACCAAAAACATACAACAGGTTCTCGTCAAACTACATGAAAAAACAAACAGCAACCGTTTCACGCTAGACAGGGTAGAAACCTCGATGTCTTCCTGGGGGATGGACATGAACCGGCTGTCGCCTCCGGACATGCGCTCCATGAGCATCTCCGTAGACCTTCCCTCGAGGCTCTTGACCAGGGTCTCGTGAGACTGCAGGAAGGACTGCTTAGCCCGCTTCAGGGCCTCCTCTTCCCACACAAACCCAGACAGGATTTGATGAAGAACCTAAAAGAAGCGGCGTTACATACGAGAGAGACAACGAAAAGAAATGGGGATTTCCGGTTCGATCGATCGTCATGGCAATGCCCGAGAAGCTGTGTAGATAAAAAACGGAGATATTTCGTACCCTCAAGCATAAATCTCGTTTCTTGAAGAAGAACAAAAACGAAGCAACTAAATAACAAAACACACACAATACTTGTAACTGGTTGTAAAACGCACCGAAATACTCGAAAAGGGCAAAACCAACAAGTGGGTGACACACACACCATTTTGCTCTTTCGTCGGTCACCCTCTCGTACAGGAAATTCGCAAACAATAAGCACCAGCTGGACAAACACAGCAGTACCATATTTCTTCGTCATCGAAAAGAACAAAAAAAACAACCTGGAATGCCGCCTCCATTCCGTTGAGACCTCCCTCCACGTCGTCGCTGCCGTCATCCCCCATCCCCCTGCCGTGAAGCTTAGTGGTCGGGAACGCCAGGTCGAGGTACAAGAATTCGTCGTTCGCCTCGACGGTAACCATCACCAGGTGGTCGATGCAGAAAAGCTCCACCTTTGGTAATTCCAAGTACCATATTTGTGAGGTTCGGAATAATAGACGGGGTGGCGGCGACGGCAGGAGTGGAGGGGGGGGGAGTACCAATAGGAAATGTTGAAGATGAATGTTGGTGTGTGGCACAATGTACGTGTTCCCTGGCGCTCTAGTGGGGTTCACGGGGCTGTCGCACTAGAGGGCTCTTGCACTAGAGGCAAAACCGTTTGTGACAAAACCAAACCACAAAAAAACTTGCTGTACAGAAAACAGTTCCAACACTTGCTTAAATCTTTACGCCTCTTGAAGACGCGGGTTCCAAAATACGAAGCCCCCAACTTGTCACCGCAGCGGTACCGGGGCAAGCCGGGGGGGGGGGGAGACCCCCATAATACACAGTCAACCTTATCTTCTTCTTGGGAAGGCCTGGAACTCTGGTTCACCTGTTCCCTGATCCAGCTGCCGAACGCCCCGCCCTCCTGCATGGGCCTCGCCCCTATCGCCACCACACCGGGGCCCAGGATGGACTCCAGCTGCCGGCCCCCCGGGAGGGTCACGCGAACCTGTCCCCTCTGGCTCTCGTGCTCCTGCTTCACCACGTTCACGCGGATGCCTAACAAAAACGACAGAAACAGATTGGGGAGGAGGGTGGAGGTGTGCGGGTTGTACAGGGTCTGCTGGGGATGGTCCGGCGACGACTGGAGCGTTGGGTCTAACAAAAGGAGCGTTAGATTCTCGAGCAACCAAACACAGGGAACAAGACGACCAGAATAACTGTTGCTGTAGAAGCTGCACAAACATCCCGCGAGAGAGGGGGGGGGCGTACTCTTGTGCTTTGCATGCCGTAGCGGTTAGACTATTGATCACGCGTCCTCGAGAGGACGGAGCGAGAGAGAAGGGGGGGCGGGGAGGGGCATCACACGCCCCTCCCTCCGTCCTCACAACTGCTTAGCCCGAACAGTAGACGAGTGCCAATCGCTGCGAAACCACCACCGACCAACGTTCCATCTCTCCATCATCAGACCGCACCCAACCTTCCATCGATTCATCACTCCCCAACACAACCATTCACACACACGCGGTTCTTCTATTCCGCGTCACGTACGTACAAATTTACCGGCGTTTCTTCATTGATCAGCCGGTTAGCGCGCAATCAAATTAACACGCACAAACGCAGTTAGAAGCATTTCGTGTTTTAAACCGCACTGAGACAGACGTCTTTTCATTGGCCAGCCGGTTAGCGCGAGCGGTCCATGCAAATAATAGAGACACACACCACCGAACCGTTGCTCAGTCGGCGGAAGCGTGTGCCGGTTGCGGGC